TTTTAATAGTTACTTCTTTTACTATATCACTATTAATTATAATATGACGTTTTAAAACAATGAATCATAATAAAAATTCTTCTAAATGACTAAGTATATAGTATATTTATAACTATTAACACTTAAAAGTTTAATATGAATTGAAGTTTATGTATAATTAGTCTGATATAAAATAAATAAATATTTACTTACGATAGATAGGTAAATAGGTAGGTATAGCTTGTTAAGTTGAAGTATTAAATAACATAGTAATACAAGTATAATATAATTACAATATAATTTTTATTTGAATATTGATAAATCTATACAAAAATTATAATTATTGTCTTAGTAAATATTTAAAATTATTTACTATTGATATTTAATTTCAAATAGTTATATAAAAATATATTAAATATTTCAATATTTTTTTAATTTTTATGTACAAATCAAAAATCTATCTAACAACATTCAATATATACTAAAATATAGACGTTTTATTTTAATTTAAAATTTGTTTTAATTCTTTAAAGAAAATCATCCAAGTATAATTAACCAGAAACATTTTTTCATTTAGTGTACAGGTATTCTCATTTTTCCCGATGTTGTCATGTTTCTGTAGTTGATTTTAGATTTTATACAAAACGATGATTATAATTTTAAATATTTTCATATTAATGTGTGTAAAATTAGTGTTAAAACTTATTTTTGGTGAGGAGCAATAATGTATACAAGGTATCCCTCTTTATCCATCCTAATGTTATATCCACCACAGCAAAAAATTTAAAATTTAAAAAAAAATATGCATATTTTTGTTTATAGATTTGTATAATCTGATGCAATTGCTTAGTTAGTTTTTTATAATCATTAATTAATTTTTATCTTGATTTATATAGTTTATGTAGATTTAATAATGTTGCTATCATCATATTTTTTTGAAGTCGTCTTTTAATTTTGTAAATTGTATAAAATATTGTTGGCAGTGGGATCGTCAAAGATTCTCTATCATTATAGTATCATCATCTTTGAGCGAATTTCTTGAAACCAACTATCTAATTTTTTTTTTCCTAATACTGCATTGTAACCGACCGACAACAACCGTCTGCATCAAAAGACTGTATTCAGCGTAAAAATGTACTACTAAATTTTTGAATTATACAAATTCCATACTGTAGAGCAGTGGTTCCCAACCGGTGTGCCGCGAGCGCCCTTTAAATGTACCGTGATAAATTTATAAATTGTTTTATAAGTATGTATTTACCAGCTTATTATTGATATTCGAGATGAAAACTGATCGAACTAATCATAGATATACATAATATTATTTATTTTAAGTATGCCCGTCGCAGCCCTCTCGATCGATCAATTGTATTAATATATTTCACAATAAATAACCCTCTAATAGAGTAGACTGTAAATATTATACATATATATATATATATATATATATATATATAATATGGTTCACATAATATATGGCTTGGTATGCCGCGAAAATTTTGTTGGAGATGAAGTGTGCCGCACTATTAAAAAGGTTGAAAACCACTGCTGTAGAGTATAGGACATAGGTTGCATGTTTATATACGTAGTATATTGAATATACTATATAGAAATTTTCTATTTTCTATGATATATTTAGTCACCTAGGTGATTAGGTATTTTGTGGCAGACCATCAGCCCACCAACAATTTTGAAGGAGCAATTACACCAAAATAATACCTTCACCGTCTGGTCAGATTATCTTGAAAAAAATCAGATAATTTTAATCTGGCCAGATTAACCTAAGTGGCGTCACTGGTTATAATACTTAAATAGTAGTATACTTCGTTATCTTATCCATTCGGTATTGAAAAACCAGTAAATAAGATAATGAATACTAATTATCAGTACATAGTAAATCAGATCTGATGTATATACTGGCTTATGAAGTATCTACAATGAGATGCATAACAATAGTTAAAATAACTTCATTCAAATTTCAATATTTTAATAGCTCTACATATTATTAAAGTCTATGATTAACATTGAAATAAGTTTAATAAAATGTTTAATATTAACACCTATACCCAGTGGCATCAAAGAGTGTATACAGGTTGGGTAGATGCTCTACCTCATAATATTTTGGTAGTTCAGTAAGTTATAACTTATTATGAATTATAAATAAACACAATTAATAATTAATTCGTTAATATTTTTTTATAGATTGATTTATCCGACTTATTTATTAAAAAAATGTTTTCATATAAGGCAAATATTATTCGGTTCTTAATCCAGTAGTGGGATGGTGGCAAGCCCGGCTCAAATGTTTACTCACGCCTAGGCAAACTTATGTTTTATCGTCCCTTACATGTAAATACTACAT